CATTGTGCAGACCAGAAGAGAGTGCCCTTCACTCTGTGATTGATTTAACCTTCAGGTGTGGTTCACTGGGGGGTCAAGCATTTGCGAACGAGCGTTCATCGGATGCATGAATTCTAACGAGCTGTTAATCGACCATTAGTTTTGCACCCCCCCTCCCCCTTTCTCTCTCTCCCTTGTGAAAGTAGCCAAGTAGCCCCCCTGGTTGCCTCTCTGCAAATGTCCCCACGCGCCGGGGGTCGCAGCGCGGACCCGTCCGCGCCAGTCAGCACAGGACCCACCAGTCAGGCCGACGACGCGATCCCTCGGTGCGGTCCTGGGTTCGAGCGCCAGCCAGGCCACGCCGAGAGGGGTCCTTTTCTCGCCAGGCCGTCAGTTTTTCACCCTACCGGCATTACGAGAGCTGGCGCCACGACATGTCATCGAACGTTCTATGGCGGCCCCATAAAGAGACGCAGGTAACAAGGGACCCCTACCGGGATGACATTTCTCATCATTGATCAACTCCTCCCCCCTCCCCACTGTCCCTTTCTAAACCGTAGCGCGTCCGGCAGTGGCAGCTGAGCGCCAGCTGGGTCAATCGTTGCTGCTGCTCACGTTTTTCATCAGGGCTCGTCCATAAATTACGTGCCATTCGTGGCACTCTGACCGCCTGTGACCCCCAATGCCCACCTTGGCACCCGTCTGTTTAAATAAGGATATCCTCGCTGCCTCGGCAGTTTATCCCCCTCCTCTCCTGCTCCCGACCCACCCAGGCTGCATAGCGGACGAGACGGGCCAAGCGTGGGGAAGTCGCAGTCAGCGAAAGTCTTTGCCTTGTTTGTTCTTGTGCGGGAGCCATATAAACTGAAAGTGCCGCTGTCGTTGCTTCTCGGTGAAATGTTGCTTTTATAAAATGCCGCTTCACACTGCGCCAGCAGTTTATGGAAAGCATGAGATCGGGCGTGCGCGGCACAGCCGGAGGCTTTGCTTCGCGGTGGTGGCGGCCGCGAGCTGGATCGGTCCGACCAAGCTGTGATAACCGAACCGCTCCTCACGCCGCGTGCAGCCGGTTCCCCTCAAAGCGCATCTCCACAGTCAGCCAGAAGCCGGGGACGGTCCTGTCGGTGTAACCTTTCCGTGAACAGCTCCACCCCTTCTCCTGCCCGCCCAACCCAACCGGATGCACCCCCTCTTCGCGGGACAGCGAAACACACTGCTTTGCCCGCTCTTATTTTCGACTTTGCTCCTGCGTCCTCTTTGCGACCAAAGTTTTTGCCCGCACGCTCTGTTGGGGTACGGCAAACTTCGCGCCACGTTGTTCCCAATAAATAATCCGTGGTAGGTGATGCATATTATTTTTCGCCTTAGACCCCTTCTATGTGGTGCACTTTAGTACAGATACCGCGCCACAGATATCCGCAGTTTTATGAACAGTGCTTGCACCCCAAAGTTCACATTCGTGACTCGAACATGTACCCCAATCGAACTTATCGTGCTTATTCCAAGATATTTGACTTACTTCAATGCCACATGTTGTTTTCAGTTTTGATTTTTACAACTTCAAAAATATTTTGCTCAATCCGAAAGCCGAGCTTTCTGGGTGTGCTCTCTTTTCGGAAACTCGGATACACCTTGACTGATTTGTGATTTGGCTCGTACTTTATGAAGATTTCAGTTAAAAATCACATAAATTCTACGGAATACTTGGGCAATTTTATCCCAATGCCCTTTTTTCAAGGAGCTTAAACGCCCGTATTTTCTCCGTGAAATACGTAATTAGAGTGTGATTGAAAAGTGATTGGTTCACTGATGGGATGAGGTAAAGAACACCTTCCCTCGCCTCGCGGCGCCGCGGGACGCAGACGGGTCGGCGGGAGTGAAGACGCGGCCGTTGGGTTGCCTACCTGGCGCGGCTACCCTTGTCTCCGGCCCTACTGGCCTCCTCCAACCCTGCTGCTTGCAAAGTTGACCAAAAAATTGTGCAGGAAATAATATTAGAATTGCGCGTCAACTCTGAACCTGCCCCCTAAAAAAGGGAAAAGAAACCGCGGACACACCAACAATGCCTGCAGTAATTATTATCGAACAGAAACAAGTGTTGATCGGGTAGTGACGATCGTATCTGCGGCACAACCCGCGCACGATGGCGTGCACACAATACAAGGCATTACGGCCAGCAGGGCGCTGCCGGTAATCAAGTATTCCCCCGTGACCCCGCAAAGCTGCGATCGCTTCTATTTATCGCTGGCGATTCATTTTGGCGCCAGAGCGCTTTAATGAGGGCGGGCCTAGCGCCACGTCGCGGGAGGATTCATGACGGCATTGTTGCGGGGCGGACCCTCTGGGTGGAGCCGCCGCCCGGGCCGCAGCCGCAGCAACGGCCACCACACGTTGGGCATGCAGATTAGGCCCGGCGGTCCAGCGTGTGCTGCTGGGGAGGATGGACGCGAAAGATGTTTCATGAGCTGTTTCGTCATATAGAAATGCGTCCGTATATCTCCTCCCGCGCGGTGGCACGGCAGCTGCGGCCGGCCGGCTCGGCGTGGGCGGCTCTGGTGGCCCGCGGGTCACGTGGTGGGCGCTACCAGCGAGCGCCATTCATCACGGCGCCCAGAGATCTAATGCGTCTTGGGCGTTACGTGTTTTGTTGACAGTCGAAGCCACCCTCCCCCTCTTAATCGCCGGGCCATGTCAGGACAGTAATATCATCAAGCCGATCACACCCCTATTGACATGGCGAAATCATGTATTAGCGCGATCAACATTTGTTTTACGGAAGCAAAATTCTCTTTTTTGTTCCGCGGGTCACATGATTTTCTAATTGTGTGTCACGATTAGCATGCACACATGGCGTGTGACATATTGTCACGCACGTTTAAGCAGTGTTTCAAGGTGTGTCAGGATGCGCAATTGCCTACTCGCTCCATCCGTAGGGCGCCATGGCCCGTCGTAGGCAAAATGAGTGTGCCGTTATTGCATTGTACATGCGAACCCGGATTTTGTAGCTTTGTCCTCTGCGCGCTTTCCCGCCTCTCATTTCCGCTCGTCAGAAAGGCGTCTTGCCAGCGCCCTTTTGGCTCGGCGGGTGAGTGTCGGTGTCGAGGTGTGTAAACTGCTTTACGCACTGCTCTCGCGCTGTCCCCTCTCTCACCCGGTACTGTGAAGGCCCTCGCCTCGCCCCCGCCACGGCCTGGCGCTGAGCCGCACCTGAGAGGACACTGCTTGGGCGGCTGCGCGGTCCCGCCCGCCGCCGCAGCAGAGCGCCGAACTTGAACTCGTTTGTGGCTAACGCATTGCGCGCGCGTGAACTCGATATCGCGACCAGGGAAGTCACGACCGCGACTACCGAGTAAACACGACGCCCTGCCACGCCCCGCCACGCCCCGCCACGCCCCGCCACGCCCCGCCACGTCCTGCCACGCCCCGCCACGCCCCGCCACGCCCCGCCACGCCCCGCCACGTCCTACCACGCCCTGCCCCGCCCATAGCCGCCACGCATTTCACGACTCGCTTTGCGCAGCCGCCCTCGAGCGGTCCCACCGGGTCCCACCCACCGAGATGCTGGGCGCGTGCCTCTCGGACCGCGCCGCGGGGCTTCCGGGACGGGCGGCGGTCATCTATCCGCAGTCGTCCTAAGCTTCATCTTCAATGAGGGTTATAACGACGTCAGTTCCTATGAACTAGATCATCCAGAAAAGCACGCGTCACCCGACGTTACATCGGCCCACTTTCTGGAAGCTCTCAAAAGCGCCTGATGGGTAGGCAACATCGCACTTGCAGCGCGTGCGTGTACCGCGGGGTGGCCTATCCCGAGTGTCGCAGGCGCCGAGCTGCGTAATCTGTCGAGTAAATCTGACAAAAAAACGGACGTTGTTTCTGGACGATAACTTGAATTGAAGAACCGCGAGGCCTCTGTTGACCCCTCTGTTGGTACTGGGAATGCCTTATGGCTGATTATCGAATTGACACAAACCCCGACACCTAACATGAAAATCATCTGTTTAGATACAGAGGAGAACTTAAGTCGCACCGATAGTTCCATCCCTCGCCTCAACGGCCCTGGGGCTTCGCGCCTCTTGGCTTGGGATGTTTGCTGCAGCATTTTGGAAGCCCCGCGACACAGTGGAAGCATGTAGTGTCACGTGTTACGGAAGCGCGGCGGTGCAGCTGGGGGAGGGGGAGGGGGGATCGGCACACTGACCTTTGAGAGTGCTGCGGCCGCCCCC